GAAAAACCAACAGCAAGAAACATTTGAAATGTTGGTTTTCACACCTGAAGATGACCGTTTGTGTTATGGTCGAAACGTCGTGAGAATTTTTATTGTTATATATATAATTATTTTATTGTTTCCCTTCAACGTGACTTTATCCAAAGAGCTATGAATTTGCCTTCATTATTTAAACTGCCGCGACGCCGGGAGATGGAATGGAACACGGCGACCCCTCGCTCCGGCTTGTTACATGCGCGCTGGACCATTCCACACCGAGGCTGGGCAGAGCTCCATCCGAACACTGTACACACACGCACTGTACACACACTGTACACACACATGTGTGTGTGTGTACAGTGTGTGCAACAACCCAGACGGCACGCAGCAGGGGCAAAGTGCTCAGCGAGATGGCACTTTCTGCGAGTTCGCAAAACACGAATTTTAAGTGCGAAACCGCAGCCCCTGCCTGCTTTTTAGGCCACGTGTTTTGTTGTCGCTGTGAACGGATCGCTCAGGGATCTGCGCTGCGATGTTCTCGCCCTCGCCAAGCCGGACGCGTTTTGCTGCTGCTGCTGCCAGTCAGGCACGAGGCTCGCGGAGCGAGCGTCGTGTGGCACGGGGGCTGAGGCGGCGGCGGCGTCGGGGTTATCCGTCACTGCTCTTGGCGGCGCGGCAAAGGCGGCGATGATGGTGGTGGGAGGCAACGCAGCGTGAACACTCACGACTCGCAGCGTGAACACTCGCAGCGTGAACACTCGCGACTCGCAGTGTGAACACTCGCGACTCGCAGTGTGAACACTCACAGTGTGAACACTCACAGTGGGAACACTCACAGTGTGAACACTCACAGTGTGAATACTCACGACTCGCAGTGTGAACACTCGCAGTGTGAACACTCACGACTCGCAGTGTGAACACTCACAGCGTGAACACTCACAGCGTGAACACTCACAGCGTGAACACTCACAGCGTGAACACTCACGACTTGCAGCGGGCACACTCACAGTGTGAACACTAACAGTGTGAACACTCACGACTCGCAGTGTGAACACTCATAGTGTGAACACTCGCAGTGTGAACACTAACAGTGTGAACACTAACAGTGTGAACACTAACAGTGTGAACACTCGCAGTGTGAACACTAGCAGTGTGAACACTCGTAGTGTGAACACTAACAGTGTGAACACTAACAGTGTGAACACTAACAGTGTGAACACTCACGACTTGCAACGGGAACGAAGAGGGCCGCCCGCCCGGGTTTCTGTTCAACCCTCGGGGCTCCATTCTGCGCGTGAATTGTGTGCGAGTGAACGGGAGAGCCGGTGGCAGCGCTCCTACGGAACTCAGCGACCCAATTTCGATTCCTGCTCATGGCTAACATCGGTGGCAACTGTCTCAACTACGTCCTGGGCCCTCGCCTGGGTCGACTCGGTCTCAGATGAGTACCTGGCGCGGTGTGTAAACATCACTGCCGGAAAGACAAAGGCGGCCAGACGTGGATTTGGCCACCCACTCCCTTGACAGGTGCTTACTCGCTCACAGCACTTGCCACAACGGCCTATGAAATGCAAGACGAGGGACCTTTGTCTTTTGAGTGTGTGTGGAGTTTGTATGTTCTCCTCCTGGTCTGCATTGGTGTGATCCAACTTCTCCCGTTTCCTCCCACAGCTCAACACACAACGCAACCGGTATTGGTGCGAAATATCACGACGCTGAAACGTTACCTGTAAATGGCCCAATTGGGATTACACAAAGCGGCAACATCGCCCCCTACTTGGACAACTTGGCAGGACCCTCCTGGGAAAAAAAACTCGAGGCTTTCGTGAACACGAAAATGAAGCTCACAATAGCACCACACTCCACAACAATCCACCACACTCCACACAATCCACCACACTCCACACACTCCACCACACTCCACTGCTGCACTACATTTAAGACCCCTTCATCCGCATCGCATCCCCTCATATCTCTGTCACGTACCATCACAACCTCATCACGTCCCCTGTCACATCCCATCAAGCCGCATCCCAATCACGTCCGCTGTCACATGCACCAACGTGCCAAAACATCCCCATCACATCCCATCATGCCCCATCACAACCCTGTATCATCACTGTCACATCCCATCATGCCCCATCAAAACGCTGTATCATCCTTGTCACATCCCATCATGCCCCATCACATCCCTATCACATCCCATCTTGCCCCATCACATCCCATCATGCCCCATCACAACCCTGTGTCATCCCTGTCACATCCCATCATGCCCCATCAACCCTGTATCATCCCCATCACATCTCCATCACATCCTTGTCACATCCCATCATGCCCCATCACAACCCTGTATCATCACTGTCACATCCCATCATGCCCCATCAAAACGCTGTATCATCCTTGTCACATCCCATCATGCCCCATCACATCCCTATCACATCCCATAATGCTCCATCACATCCCATCATGCCCCATCACATCCCATCATGCCCCATCACAACCCTGTGTCATCCCTGTCACATCCCATCATGCCCCATCAACCCTCTATCATCCCCATCACATCTCCATCACATCCTTGTCACATCCCATCATGCCCCATCACAATCCTGTCACATCCTTGTCACATCCCATCATGCCCCATCACATCCCTGTCACATCCCATCATGCCCCATCACATCTCTGTCATATCCCATCATGCCCCATCACAACTCTGTCACATCCTTGTCACATCCCATCATGCCCCATCACATCCCTGTCACATCCCATTATGCCCCATCACATCCCTGTCACATCCCATCATGCCCCATCACATCCCTGTCACATCCCCATCACGTCCCCTGTCACATCCACTCACGTGCCAAAACATCCCCATCACATCCTTATCACATCCCCATCACGTCAGCAGCACTTCCCCTTCACATTACCACCACGTCCAATCACATCCCGTCACATCCCATCACATTACCTCTCAATCCCAGACACCCTTAATCAATTCATGAACCGTGTCAACTCTTTATCTATTACAACTTTGACCGTCCTTTTTCATGTTGGGGTACTGCGCTGTGCTCAGCAACTGTGTTTACAAAACGTAAAAATAACAATCCACAAATAGAGCAACACAAAAAAACCCCACACATCACCATCATCGCCAATCCAAGCCAGGCTGCCACGCACATTCCTAAACATTCACGCGTATCGACAATACGGGAGACCCCCCTCCTCCTCGCCTTCATCCCCACAGTCTCTCGCATGCTCCTGCATCCCCCTCAAGCCCCCCCCCCCCCCTTGTCAACCCCTTCGTGCCCCCTACTGCCCCACCTCGTACCCCCCCACCACCACCTCACGAAGGCGCAGTCAATGTTTACGCGAAGGACAAAGCCACATACCGAGACACACCGCGGGGACACGTCGAGACACACGTGGGGACACGAGATAAACAAGTCGCGAGAAACGGGGGCGGGGGGGTGTAACTGAGACTCACGGAGACAGGTCGCCAGATACAGAGGAGTATGACTGGGACTCACGGAGACAGGTCGCCAGATACAGAGTATGACTGAGACTCACGGAGACAAGTCGCCAGATACAGAGGAGTATGACTGGGACTCACGGAGACACGGAGACAAGTCGCCAGATACAGAGGAGTATGACTGAGACTCACGGAGACAGGTCGCCAGATACAGAGGAGTATGACTGGGACTCACGGAGACAAGTCGCCAGATACAGAGGAGTATGACTGAGACTCACGGAGACAGGTCGCCAGATACAGAGTATGACTGAGACTCACGGAGACAGGTCGCCAGATACAGAGGAGTATGACTGGGACTCACGGAGACGCACGGACCGAGATACAGGAGGGGGGAGACGCATTGAAACAAAGACACGGGACAAGTCGCGATCCACGGGGGGTATGACTGAGACGGAAACACGTACCGAGACACGGGGGGTATGACTGAGACGGAGACACACGTACCGAGACACCGGAGGTATGACTGAGACGGAGACACACGTACCGAGACACGGGGGGTATGACTGAGACACACGTACCGAGACACGGGGGTATGACTGAGACGGAGACACACGTACCGAGACACGGGGGTATGACTGAGACGGAGACACGTACCGAGACACGGGGGGTATGACTGAGACGGAGACACACGTACCGAGACACGGGGGGTATAACTGAGACGGAGACACACGTACCGAGACACGGGGAGTATGACTGAGACGGAGACACACGTACCGAGACACGGGGAGTATGACTGAGACGGAGACACACGTACCGAGACACGGGGAGTATGACTGAGACGGAGACACACGTACCGAGACACGGGGGTATGACTGAGACGGAGACACGTACCGAGACACCGGGGGTATGACGGAGACACAAATACCGAGACACGGGGGGCACACGCGCGCGAGACGAAGAGACAAAGAGACACGCTGAGGGCATACACAGAGAGAGAGGGGGGCGAGCCAGAGACAAACAAGTTGCTAGACACGGGGTAATAACTGACAGACACACACAGAGACACGTGGAGACAGGGGACAAAGGGGACGGGCGCACGCACAGAGGTGAGGGTGGGGGGAACATTCCGAGACACGTGAAGACAAAGACGCGCCGAGATTGCTGGGCATATCGACACAGGCGGCGGAGACGCGGGCACAGCCACACAAAGGGATTGTGCCATGAACACGACCATGCCGAGACATAACGGGGCAATATGGGGAGACGGTGGTGGGGGGGGGGAGACACGCGGACACACGCCACCACCTCACTGCGCTCACGGCAGCCTCTTTGTCTGCGACCCCGAGAGACGCGCGCACGGATGGGGAGATCGAACCCAGCCGGTGATGGGGGGGGGAAGACCGCCCTGTGGCTCGCCGCGGTTACGACCATCCCGTGCCCTCTGCGCATCCGATCCTCATCCCTCACCCCGCGTCCTCCTCCTCATCCCTCACCTCGCGTCCCTCGTCCCGCATCTCTCGTGCCGCCCCCCACCCACCCTCGTGTCTCTCGCTACCTGTCCGTGCCGCCTCCTCCGCCACGCTGTGTGGGCCGCTCCGCGCGGCCGTGCCCCCCTCGCATGCCGTCCTCGGCTCCCTCACTCCTCGCGGCGTCACTCACTGAGCCGTGAGGCCCCCCCGCGGCCCGACAAAGTTGCGGGAGTGGTGGAGGCAGGAGGAGGAGGAGGCTGGGGGAGAGAGAGAGAGAGAGGGGAGATGGGAGGAGAGGGCGGCTCCGCGGAGAGGAGGGAGGGAAGGGCCAGGGGTGGCGAGACAGACGGCAGGGGGAGGAAGGGAGGGAGGATGGAGTCGAGATGGAGGGTGGTGCAGGGAAGATGGAGCAGAGGTGGGAGGGTGGAGCACGGAAGATTGGGTGGAGGAGGGAGGGTGGAGCAGAGATGGGAAGATTGAGTAGAGATGGGAAGATTGAGCAGTGGACGATGGAGCAGAGATGGAAGATGGATAGAGCAGATATGGAGGGTGGAGTAATGAGGGTGGAGCAGGTGGGATGGAGCAGAGATGAAGGGTGGATCAGCTAGAATTGAGCAGAGATTGAGGGAGGATCGGAGAGGGTGGAGCAGAGATGGTGGGTGGAGCAGAGATGGAGGGTGGAGCAGGGAAGGTGGATCAGAGATGGAGGGTGTAGCTGGGATGGAGGGTGGAGCAGGGATGATGAAGCAGGGAGGGTGGAGCAGAGATGGAGGGATGGTGGAGCAGGGAGACGGCTTGTTCCCAGAGGCAGCAGCGCTCTCTGCTGGCTATGGTCGGGGCTGGGTTATTGGTCTCACGTGGTAGCGGACGGTGAGTTCACACCGGACGTGTGCTTGCAGGTACCGCTGGAGGATCTTAGGGTTTTAGGCCCCCAGGGTCTCGGGGTTTTGGACTCTTGGGGTCTTGGCGTTGTGCGGCGCCGGGGTCTCGGGTTCCTGGTGTGCTGTTGTCCCTTGACCGTGTTTATTTACAGGAGGATGTTGGATGTAGCCCTATGGCCATATCAGATCATTATTATCCATGTATCCACTGCTGGATTAATTCATCCCCACGCCGTCGCCATCCTGTGATGTCACAATAATGCATATTTATTTTAGGAACATTGGTTCAATGCAAGCAAAACTCTGGACCGGCGTATACATTCAATGTCTGATCAGTGATCAGCAGTCAGGCGTGCTTGAATTGCCGATAGATGTTCATAGACAAGGGTTAGATATGGGTCCTAATTCAGGTCGCTTACTGAAATTATGCACTCCCACAGGGCGGTGTGGCTGATGAGATGTGTAAAGGAAATGGAATGTGCATGACCAGTTATGTGAAAGAAATCAGATTGCTTATTTATTTTAAGTTCTGCGCAACGACGCCAATTATAATTTTGTATCATCCATCTCATGAATGCGAAATGTCATCACCCATGGGCATATACAGACGCGTGAGTGATTCGTCTCGCACAGAGGGATACACATTGAGGCGAGTTCCTCATTTGTACGCTGTATCTGTAATGCAATTGGGCTGCAGGGCTGCGCTGCACACTGGGAACATTCGTCCCTCACAGAAAGAAGGCCCTGGGTTCGATACCAGACTCTGGGTGAGGGTTTGGATGTTCTCCCCCTCCCTGTTCTGCATGATTTTCCTCTGGGCTCTCCCAATTTTCTCCCAGAGTTAAACACACACACAGAATGTAACCGGTATTGGCCAAAACATTCAAAAGCTTAACATTTTAACTGTAAATTACTCAGTTTGGATAACATATAGCAAGAACACCACCCCCTTCAGCAAACACTTGGCAAGACCCTCCTGAAGACAAGTCCGAAAACTCAGCGAAGTTTTCCTGAATTGAACAACAACAACATAATGATCTTATTTGTCTTTGGTGCTCTACCTTCGCGGCAGGCCCTTGATCCACACACGACCCCTTCAGCTACTCCAGCATCTCAATCCTCGGCCTTTCTCTCCGTTCTTTCCCCCTCCATCCTTCGTTCTTCGACACCCTCCTCATTCACCACACCGTGCGTTCTTCTCTTTCCTTTTGATGACTGCAATTACCATTCTACTTTCATTGATTTCCCATCAAGATGTCTTCATTGGTCTTCATCTCTGTGTCATACGTAGCCAACTGATTAGCACGGGTGGCTAGGTAGGGTGCGAAAGAAGTCCATACATAATTATATAAACACAACACTTCCAAACAGAACGGGTCACTTGATGTTCACGTGACTCTGAGCGTGCATCATATTGTTTGTATGAATGTTGAACTTCGCACGTAGCCAACCGTGCTAATCGTAAGTGCGGGGGAAGGACAACTCTACACAAAAAGCAGTTATAAAGAAACGAGTTTTCAATGTAAATGATTTAAAAAGTGCATAGCTCCAGTGGCTTCCTGACGGCCGCAGAAGCGCATCTGGATGATTATTTGCGTGCATTATTATTGTGGTAGTTTAGCAAGGAAAGTCTGCCTTAAGTTCCATGACTATTTTTTCAGGAGGGTCCTGCCAAGTATTTTGCTGTAAAGGGGTGATGTTGCTACGTATTCGCCATAGAAACAGATCACCCACAAAACCTTAAACATCTGGCAGCTCACTCGCATTGTTTCAATTAAGCCCCGTAAGCTTCACCATCCGAGACACATATCTAACAGAGAGGTTCTTTCCCAATAATCGTTGGGTAGTTCAGCAGCATTACTTTAATCAAGCCTGTGCATGAGACACTGAATGTCGAAACCGGTCCAGAGTTGTGTTTTTTGTTTGTTTGTATTATCAACCAATCAATGCTCGTGAAATTGTGCATTCCTGAAGGCCGTGGCTGATGGGATGTGTCAAAAAACATGTATTCGCCTCGTGTATGTGGAGGGCCAGTATAGAGGAAGGAGTCCGCATCCTCACAGCGAGGGAGGGCTCTCCAACCATCACTGCTGTGTGGTCGCGATTCGGTTATGCGGTCACGGATGTGGTCTCGTTGAAAGTCTCCCACGCACGTGCCCGTGGCCGGGAGCTCCCTGGGAACCCTGCCCCCTCAGCAGCTATGGGCGCTCTCGTGGGATTTCACGGCCTCCCGGGGAATCAAGAGGGCCTAGAGGGTCCTCTCTAAAGCTCGCGCATGTGTTTGTTGAACTTATTTCGCACCGTACGTAGACAAGCGTGCTAATCGGAGGTGCATCATATAACCTAATAGGGGCCTCTCTATAGGGGGGGCCTCTCTATAGGGGGGGCCTCTCTATAGGGGGGGCCTCTCTATAGGGGGGGCCTCTCTATAGGGGGGGCCTCTCTATAGGGGGGCCTCTCTATAGGGGGGGGGGCTCTCTATAGGGGGGCCTCTCTATAGGGGGGGCCTCTCTATAGGGGGGGCCTCTCTATAGGGAGGCCTCTCTATAGGGGGGGCCTCTCTATAGGGGGGCCTCTCTATAGGGGGGGCTCTCTATAGGGGGGGCTCTCTATAGGGGGGCCCTCATGGGACCCCAGCGCCTCTCAGCAGACTGTCGCATCTCAAGATCTCAGATATCTGAAGTGGTCCTGTTAATGCCATCTCTCATGATCATCCTGTGGCAGGTTAAAGTTTCGAGTCCGTCGGGGGGGGGGGCGATTCGGGGTCTTGTGGAACCACGAGGACTGTGGTACTCTACTTCCGCGGGGCCACCCAGGCGGCAACTGTGGGGGCATCACACACGACGGCCTCCTCGCAACAGGACCTGGGCTGCTTTGGCTCGCGTTGGCTTTCTGTCCCCGGGACTCAGGAGGGGACGGGGCGACGACTGTGAAGGCGGTGGTCTCTGGGAGAGGTGGTCGACACCGTGCTCTATGTACAATATGTTGAACTTCTTTCGCACCGCGCGTAGCCAACCGCGACGGTCGGAGGTGCGGGGACACCCGTCATCTGGCGAATGCACCTCGGCGTTTCTCAACCCCTCCACGCCGTCGACGGCCCACATTGACCAAGGTGGTGAAGTATGGCTAAGACGGCCGCGTGAAGACAGAGACCCTCACCTTCATCCACATCCAGCAGTGGACTATTGACCACGGCGTGAGGGGGGGAGGGAACTCGCCCCCATTGGCCGATGAGGTAACCGCGGACCAATCGCGACGCGCGCTCTCACCCAGCTCGCGCTCTCACCTCAACCAATCGGAGCAGCGGGGGGGGGGGCTCTGGGCCCCGGTGAAGCCCCCCCCATACAGCGTTGTCTTGCTCCCCCCTCCCCCCCCGTTTTATTCCTCACCGCGCATCGGCGCCGTGTGCCGCGGCGAGCCAATGGCGCGCGGCCTCTGGGGCGAGCGCGCGAGGGCGCGGGCCAATGGGGAGGGCGCACGCGCGCATCCGCTGTGGGGAATGTGATCGGCGCGGCCTCGCCGCGTTGCCGCAGTGACGCCGCGTCCCTCCCCGGCGCCGCCATTTGGCTTTGTTAGCGGAGACGCGGACCCCGGGGAGAGACAGCGGGGCAGAGACAGAGAGACACGCGCACACGCCGCGACGGGAGATCGAAGGCCAGGAGCGAGGGAGGCGACACGGCGCGGGGACGCCGAGGGACAGGGAGACGCAAGGTACCGCGGAGCTGACGCGGGGAAATGCAACGGGGGTGGTGGGTTACGGATACGCCGGGAGAACAGCGCAGAGTAGACAGTGGGAGACGCGGACAAGGGAGAGGGTGACAGTGAGACGAGAGGCGCACGTGTCGAGGTCGGGGTACGGAGACAACGTACTGCTCGGAGACACGGGATGGTGGGGGGGGGACGGTGAGACGCAGGGGCCTCGAGCGCAGACACGCGGGGATTAGAAGACCCGAGGGCCCGGCGGGTTGGGGTTAAGGATGAAGGGAACAAGAGGCGCGGAGACGAGCCAGGCATGGCGATAGGGAGACATAAGGCACCGCATGGAGACACAGGACAATGAGATTAGCGAGGACACCGGGAGCACAGGGTGCACGGGGACAATAGACGCGTGGAGACAGTGTGGAGACGCGGTGCCCACTGTGTGCGGTGCAGCACTCATTCAAACTGGGCCTCCCGTGGGATGATCCATCCTCACGGGCCGGCAGGGACAATCGCTTTTACCCAGCATCTGTTTACGGCGACACACGGGGGGGGGGGGGGGGGGTGCAGCACCACCACCACTCTGCCTTTGTCTTCTCGGTGCGAATGTCTGCAAACTGCATCGGACAAATAACCATTTGGTGTTGATTCTATCCAGGGGCGGCTCATCACCGGCAAAGGACAAAAT